TTTCAATTAAAGTTATTCGCATGAGCAGTTTATATTATTGAACTTAATGCATTGGAAAGTTGATCACCTTTTAATTGATTTAGTGATTTGTGCATGAACTTCAGAAAGAATTGTGTAAATTAGATCAATAATAATATAAACCGTGTGTTAGATTATGAGACCGAGAGATAATTAGCTCACATGTGGTAGTGGAGGAAGAGAAGAGAGCTAGTAGCTCCCTCTTCTTAAACTAGAGGTTTTCATAGAATTTAATGCTCACTAGTTTGTTTAAAATTACATAGAGATAAGATTAATTTAACAAACAAGTGAATGATTAACTTAACTTGAAAAATCTAGTTAATTAATTTAGGGAAATCTGCCATTACATGCAATAACACTCAACAATTTGGTAATCCAGAATTTATATTGATTGATTATGGTGAAATCAATACCTTAGTATCTTATATCTTGGTTAGTTTCATTTTAATTATTAGTTTCTTTTTGTTATTTTAATTAAAATCCTCTCTTTTCGATTGTTCAAATAAATTTAAATTAATTATTTTTGTACTTAATTAGACACAATCCCCATGGATTCGACACTTTTTTTATCATTATATTACTTGGAACGACTAGTACACTTGTTAGAGTGATTTTAATGCATCAAGTTTTTAGCGTCGTTGCTGAGAATTGTTGATTTAATTAATATTGAAATTGGTTAATTCTAGATTTAATTTGCACATTTTCTTTTCTTTTATTTATTTACTTTGATTTTTTTTCTTTTCTTTTGTTTTTGTTTTTGTAGGTCTAACTATGAATCGAGTTGTCTTAAACATTGATGTGAATTATCAATGACTTGCGTCGGAGATAAGGGCACAAGTTGAAGCAATAACTATCAATTGGGATGTAGAAATTGACAATGATGAACTTGAACAATTTTGAGCAGTCATCGAAAGGCAGAAATTAAATAAGGCTCTAATAGAACAATTAAATATCACTTGTCAATGGTGTGGATTTGACCATTTTAGTTCTGATTGCTATTTTAAACGATCTAACAAATGTATTGATTTTTATAGCCAACAGTATAATTCTTATCTCAATACATGCAACTCTGATTGGATAAATTATTCGAACTCCTCATGGAATAATGAAGATATATTGGAGCCACAATCAAGGTTTCAAGTTCAAGAAGAAGAGACATGTAAAATCTGGAGGTCCAATCAAGTCATTTGCTCAACTTAGTTGCTGAAGAGATGCAGGGTCAGTTACCTAGTGCAACAATGAAAAATCAAGAATAAAAGGTAAACACTTTACCCTTGGAGATTGAAGGACAACTTGAAGAAGTGGAGAGCATAACTGCAAAAACTAAACAAGAGGATGTCCCTAAGGAAGAAGAGGAATAGGCTCAAGTGTCATTTGAAGTGTTCAATGGGGAGTCTCCCTTAACCAAATCTGATTTTAATGATTATTTTTGTTATTGATATGGTTGATAAGATTTTGCAGGAAAACACTTATGAGGATCCATTTGAGATTTTCCTTATTCAAGCAAAGGACCCAATCAAAGAATACATAAATTGCTTAAATACATCCTCATCTTCCTTGAAATCGAAGGGGACTATCCTAGAAGAATTGGGAAGGCACATCTCCTGGCCTAAACCCAAACCACCTCAGAATAATAATTGGAAAAAATCTTATGGTGGATTCAATTTAAGGGTAAGGAAGCCAAGATTTAAGAAAATGAGAGGACATGCCCTATGACCTGATCCAAAACCACCTTGGAGTGGTAAAAAGTCTAATTAATGACAATAATTTGAGTGCTTCTTGAAAGGCAACCTAAGCATAAATTTTCTTCTCTTTTATTTTTTTGTCTTTTATTTTAATAGTTTAGATTCTTTTAAAATCATTTTCTCTTTATGGCCCAAATTAATGCATAAATGGTTGTTCTTTGATTTTGGCCAGGTCATTGAACAAGTTTGGGGGACAAGATTACGAAATTCACATGCTTGAAGTCTCTAATTGCAAAGAACTCAATTTCAAAACTCAAATTTTCAAGTGCATAATCTGGGAAGTTTCTCTTTTCTCTTACTTTTATTTTACATGGAGGACAATGTTTGATTTAAGTTTGGGGGAGAGGATAACTTTTAGGCATCCATTCTTACGTTAATTTGCATTCATATTTGCACGACATATTTTTATTTTTTTAGAAATTAGGGTTTTTTTTTTAGGAGTTGGTCCAATTAGGGTCAATGAATTGAATATTCTTGAGTTGGAGATTTCAAAAACTTCTAAAATCTTTTAATTTTAGAGGAGATACAAAATCTAAAAAATAGCACCATTATGATTAAGTTTAAGTTCATGAGTATTATATTTCACTTGAGCACAAGTCTATAGTGAGAAGTTTAGAGAAAAGACTTAGTAGCACCTAAAAAGCACATAAGAGAGAGAGAGAGAGAGAGAGAGAGAGAGAGAGAGAGAAAGAAAAAAAGAAGTCAATACACAAGAGTTTATTAAATTCTACTCCAATATTTCTAGTTGCTTAATAACTGGGGGTTAGGCATGAGACCCATGTCAACTTTCACGTCAAATGATGACTTGAAATATGAGTATGCAAAGCACTTTGAGTTTATGACTTGTTGAGTAATTTGGTGCTTTCATCACAAATGTTAGTATTCACGTTAAAAGACAAGTGATAACTTAGGGAATCATGTGTTATATGGCTGAAGAAAAAAAAAAAAAGGAAAAAAAAGAAGAAAAAAAAAGAAAAGAAAAAGAGAAGTCGAATGTTTCGTGGCCTTTGTTACTTGAGTAAGCATGTTCTTAGGGGTGTCTCTTCACCTAATGCCTTAAAGCCAACTGGTTTGGGAGTAATTGACAAAAAACTCATTACATGGGTAACTTAGAAAGTCTAAGGAAACTCGACATATGGAAAAAGAGAGAGAGAGAGAGAGAGAGAGAGAGAGAGAGAGAAAATAATACTAAGTGCTAAGGTGTGAAAGTCTAAACTTGATCTTAATATGAATTTCCACACACACACTAAATGCTCATGGGCTAAATCTTTTAACAAATGGTGTGAAGAATAGGATGAGTATTTTATTTTAAGTAGTGTATGAAAACTTTTAAATATTTGAGATTTTGCCTCTAATTGAACTTTAATTCCTAAATTTTCTTTGCATGCATATCATTTAGTTGCATTCTTGGATTGGGATTTTGTGGGTAGATCCGCTAAAAATCCTCACGAGACACAACTCGTCCACTAGGGTGACTTAGGGGTTTAAAGGCTTGTTGCACATACTAAGTGCAATCGTAATTCCTACGAAAGCGAGTTAAGTTTTATTTTTGTTTTTTTTGTCTTTTTATTTAACTCGATGACGAGTAAAACTTAAGTTTAGAGGAACTTGATGAGTTAATTTATATAGATATTAATGTGAAATTTTTGTCTTGATATTATTGATATTTGGATGAATTTTATGAGATTTTACATTGTTTTCATTCTTTGTGTAGAAAAGGATTTGAATGCATAAAAATAAGAGTTTTTAAGATTAATTGAATATCTTTTGAAAGTTGAGGGATTGAATTGCAAGAAAAAGGTGCCTCTTTGGGACCTAAATGAATGAATCTTGAGTTTTGGGATCTAAGTGCTCATCATACAAAATCTCAAGGACCAGATCTGCCATTTTACCATTGAAGAAATTGCAAAAAGAGACCAGAAACTCGACACAAGTGTAATGCCGGTACATAAGTTGGGTGTCAACACCATGGTTTAAGCGTCTAGAATCAGACTTTCTGTTTCCTGTTTTGTGTCGATACGTAATTCAAAGTGTCTACATGCATTCAGCTTCCAAATTTCAACTTTCCTATTCTATTCCAAGTCCTACTTCTATTTTAACTAGGGTTTCTAAATTTTTATAAATACCTATCCAAATTCAAAATTGAGAGAGTTTTGGAGAAAAGGTAGTGATAGCTCTTTTTTGGGCATTATTAGAGATCAAGATAGAGGTTTCATCAATAATAGAAAATCAAGGATTTCAACTTCCTCTCCTCAAATTGGGTTTTGTTTTTCTTTAAATTCTTTTTATCTATTGTTTGATATTTGAATGTTCATAACTATAATTTCAGGTTTTATTATTTTTATTATGAACTAATTTATTATACTAGGGTTATGATGTAGCTTAATCAATTTAATATAGATTTTGTGATTTTTATACTTTCAATTAAAGTTATTCACATGATGAGTTTATATTATTAAACTCAATGCATTAGAAGCCTAATCACCTTTCAATTGATTTAGTGATTTATGCATGAACTTGAGAAAGAATTGTGTAAATTAGACAAATAATAACATAAACTATGTATTAGATTATGAGAAGGAGAGGTAATTAGCTCACATGTGGTAGTGGAGGAAGAGAAGAGAGCTAATAGCTCCCCCTTCTTAAACTAAAAGTTTTCATAGAATTTAATGCTAATTAGTTAGTTTAAAATTACATAAGGATATGATTAATTTAACAAACAAGTGATGGATTAGATTAGCTTGACTTGAGAAAGCTAGTTAATTAATTTAGGAAAATCCATCGTCACATGCAATAACACTCAACAATTTGATAATCCATAAGTGAATTCAATGCCTTAGTACCTCATATTTTGATTAGTTTTATTTTAATTGCTAGTTTTTTTTGTTATTTTAATTAAAATTCCATTTTTTCAATTGTTCAAATAAATTTAAATTAATTATTTTGGTATTTAATTAGACACAATCTTCATGAATTTGACACTCTTCTTATCATTATATTACTTGGAACGACTACGACTAGTACACTTACTAGAATGATTTTAGTGCATCAAGCTTCACCTTTTTAAGCTCGAAATAATTGTGGCAATCAAATACTAACTCCACCCACTGGTGTTTTATACGTGTACCACTTAGCAATCAGGACATAAACGACTAAATTCACCACACTTAATACTGTCAACAGCCAAAAGAGGTAATGGAGATGGCCATAATGAAGGAGATGATAATGGTACTCCTTAAAAGCAAATGGAACCATAAAAGTTATGAGAGGAATCTACACTCACACATAAATCTTATACACTACACTTACACAAAATCTCAATTATTCATTTTTAACTTTCAATAGTTAAGACTTATCACAACTTTTTAGATGAAAACAATAATTATCTTTAATAAACGTGAATAAATTTCAACCATTAAAAGTAGAGAGATGGCTAGTTGAAATTTTGTTTAAATGTGTTGTGTAAAACTTATGTGCAGGTGGATCCCTACTCGAAAGTTATTATTTATAGTTGCTTCTGCAAGCAAAGGTGGAACTTAATATGCAGTCAGCTAGCGCAGAGTCCCCACTGGCGTTTTATACGTGTACCACTTAGCAATCAGGACATAAACGACTAAATTCACCACACTTAATACTGTCAACAGCCAGAAGAAGTAATGGAGATGGCCATAGTTTAAGTTGTCAGGTATCCATCCTACTTTCCCATTCTTGGTGCTCACACTTGTGACAATAGTCACAAGAAGAGAACTTAGGTAGTTTCCAAGTGCCACGGTGGTGAGTTGCAGGGCAGAGCAGAAGCTTCTCATGGCATCAGGTGCT